TATATATATATATATAGTATAGTTTCTCGTTTAATCTCCTTGGTTTTTTTTTTCATTTTACAACTACAATTACAGTCCTATATGAACAAACAAAAGCAGGTAATCTTTCATGTATTCATTTCTTATCCTTGAGGTAATGACGCTGTAGGTAAAAACAGGGTGTGGGAAAGTTTTACACTGGTCACACCGGTTGGACGGCAACAGACGTGGATCCGAGTCTGTATACGCAAGAGAAAAACAAACCACATTTGCAGGCCGCCCTCTTCACTAACACAGAGCACAAGAGGTATGAGAAAGCTCTGGGTGACATCCTGACCAAAGAGGTGCAGCGAAAACAAAGCAAAAGGTAAACCTACAGTAAAGGGAGTCTGTGAGTGAAACAAGATCCCAACAACAGCAGTCTGCTCACGTTTTGTGTGCCTGCTTGGATCAGATTGCTTCTTGCAAGAGCAAATAAAGCTTTTGAGCTTCAGCACGAGAGGAGCGCTAGAGAAGGCTGGGCTAATATTTAACATGCAGTACATGAGGGACAACCACAACCGCAATACAACAGACTGCCTGATCAGGACAGACTTTGAAACATATGATACATACATGGCAATTTCCACTTCTGATAAGATGCAGTTTTTTTTTTTTACACATGTATTATATAACTCACTAATATTATACAGGTTGGTTAAAGGAAGCTAGTTTTAGCTTTTTTAAAAAGACAGTTTCAGTTCCTAGAGAGACCAATCCTCTTTTAATGCCATCAAACTGTTGCTGCCTATTTTGGACTAACCAATGTTGTGCATCTTTATACCACTAAGTCCCATCTGTTATATTTAAATGTTATATACACAATAGTTTATGAAAATGTATTTTAAAATGTCATTTAGCCACCATCATAATTTGCTAAATGCCGGAAGGAAAACTGATTGGTTCAAGTTCATTGTTTACAACCACACGTCTCCATTTTTGTTCCATCGAGCTCTGGAGAAACAGATTGACATTAAACAATCTGTTGTGTTTTCTAATGGATTCCTGACAACAAAGAAGATGATACGTGTCTGTGAGACATGATTCTAAGTCCTGTTTTTCCTCTTGAAATTATCTGTCGGGATTTGATCAAATAGGGGCTTTTTATCTCATAAAAAAAAGCTAGTTTTATACTTTAAAGAACTGAAAATTGACACCAAAACTTTCAAACATCCTCTATGCTTTGTCACCTATGTTGCCTTGGCCTCTAATAACGCACACTCACAAGTTCAGACCCACAGTTGAGATCTTGGTTTACAACTCTTCTACTAGACTTCAGCCGACTCACCTTGATGACCTTGATGGATTGTTTGATCTCCTCCAGTTTCTTGGCTCTCTCTTTTATCAAATGTTTGAGCTCTGACCTCTTCTTGCTCACAATACTCTGTAAGAAGAAAATCAGGATTGTGGCTTGACTGAAATCAACACTGACAAAGCTTGACACCATGAAAATCGCATTAAAGTCCTTGCAACTGTCAGTGAGGCCTGAAACCTGCTCCCATACAGTTAAATGTCAAGCTTAAAGCCCATCAGCTCACCATCTTCTTCTTAAACTCATGGTCAGTGGAAACAATGTCGTGGGATTTGTGTGTGGCCTCGGCGCAGACTGTGCAGACGCAGGTGTGGTCCGTGCGGCAGTAAATCTGCAGGAGACGTTCGTGTTTCTTACAGATCTTGTCCTCCAGGTGGAAGGTGGGTTCGATCAGACGATGAGACATCAGAGTCTTCACCTGCATGGAGGAAGACGGCCGAGGATTTGAATGGGCAAATGTAGGAATAACAAACTCAGGACTGGGGTTTGCTAGGATAATCTACCCAGAGCCAGTGATTTGCTTGTGAAGAAGACTTTTTAACCGTGAGTACATTCAGCGAATCTGCAAGGAGGCTTATAGTAGCAGGCTGTTTGAACTAGGAAATGTTCAAGAAAGACTACTGCTGGAACAAACTTGCATGTTCAACTTACCTTTCACAGACAAAAACACTGATGAATGCATTTAAGAGTCAAAAACAATGATAGTTATCCAAGGAGTGATGAGTGAGCAGGAGTCCTGAGATGACCATAGTTATTTGATATTTGACTTTGGCTTTATCTTATGGTATAACCTTTAGTCCTTAGGTGCATCACTGTAAACTCATGTTGTACAGAAAACCATTTTCTATCCCACAGTATCTAGTTCAAGCCAAACGATATCAAAAATACCTAAATATATTATGATGAATTAGAGGGGAATATATACAAATTATGCACGAGACATCTAACACTCTGCACTCCTACAAATACATGTTTGATCTAAATATATCAATATATAATATATTATATATGATGTGACTACAGAAGAATTTAAGATACGTGATGTCAAACTGTGTAAATAGTGTGCTTTCCATTTTTATTTAATTTGAACACTGCCAAGTTTTGGGTTCAAGTACATAAATAAAAAAGTGATTAAGTAGAAAAATATTCCATTATAAGAAATAATAAAATAAAAAGGAAAAACTGACCTTTTTGTGATGTCTGAGATGGGTCTCACAGAATGACCCAGGACAGCTCACACAAGACTTCATCGCCTTTAACTTCCTCCCAATGCAGGCATCACAGGGGACGTCCCCAGTCTGGGCAAACTCCCCAGTGTCGGGCCCCGGAGAGCCCCCATGGCCTGTGTCTGAGCTTAGATTCAGCGTGGATCCTCGTGACCCAGCCCCGGCCCCTCCGCCCACCACCAGCCCCTGGAACTGGGTGGAGATTTCAGCCAGGACCCGGTTGACACTCATCTCTGGCTTTTTGGAGTAGCTCTTCTTACACATGGGGCAGGTGAACTTCTTGCTGTGGTTCCAGTATCCCTGCAAGCAGGCTTTGCAGAAGCTGTGGCCGCAGGGTGTGGAGACGGGCTCCACGAACACCTCCAGGCAGATGGAGCAGCTGAACTGCTCCTCAGAGAGGACCCGGCCTCTCGCAGGGCTTAAGCCTGGAAGAGAGAGGGAGCAAATTGAAGGCACATGATTAAGATTACATGCACAAGTTTTTAGGTAGGTTTAAACAAACTGATCTATGTGTAGAAATACTAAATCAAGAAAGGATTTGTGTGGCCTCTGACATGTCTCGTGACCCAACAAAGAGGGCTGTTCACACCTTTATGAGTTACTAAGATCACATTTTACAGGTTATGTCTGCATCATGAGACATGAACTGAAGTGTGAATTGCTGTAAAACGGCCTTCAGGACAGCAGGTTAGCAGCTGCACTTAGAAAAACATGATTTAATATTTGACTAAAAATGACTCACAGTAGATGTTTTTTGCGTGCACAATCTGACAGTTAGTCGGGATACATGTGCTGATATTGGACAGAGGAAAACCTCAATAGTGATGTGTTGTCCCTTTTTAAACTAGATATATCAACACAGTCATTTACACACCCTCAAAAAAATGCTTATACAACAAGTAAAATAAGTCATGGTGTTAGTGCTCAGTGAGAAAGACTGACAAAATGTTGTGTGTAATTAAAGTCAAAATCTTCATGCTTCATAATGACATTGGCTGGGGATATGTGGTGTCTGTGTTGCCCTCAGTCTTGACTACAGGGTCAAAGGTCAGCGTGTGTACAGACATAATCTGGTAATGTTACTTTGGTGCTTGAGCCGAGTCATAAAGAGTCACAGAGGAGAGAAAAAGTGATTAGTGTAATGAGGTTGTTTCGTGTAAAATCATCAAAATACAAATGTAACTTGGTTAAATTATAAAAAGGGAGTGTATAGTTTATGTTGAGACAATTTAATATAGTCTATGTCTTATCTGAGGTACTGAAACAAAGATATAACACCCTCAAATCCTCTTCCCCCCCACCTCCCTGCGTAATTTTAAAACTCAAAACAGTTCACAGGTGACATGTAAAGATAGGGACAGGAAATATTAGGAAATAGTGGGATTCTCCAGGGCTAATGAAATCATAATAGTGTAACTTTAAGAACCTGTTTTGACAATTTACTGCATTTTGTCTGTTCTGTTTTATCGTACAGCATAGATTAGTAGGGAAGGGAGCATAAGAGAGATGGTGACTACCACTTGGAGAGGTGATAAGTGAATGTGTAAACAAACAGGAACACAAAAACACCACATTTTGACAAGAGAAGTGGAAAGATTAGTTTGAAAAGCTACATGATGAGATAACAACGTTTTCCTCCCCAAGTTATCTGATATTTAGTACCAGAGAACACAAAGCCTTTTCACACAAACACAAATAGGAACTGTATTTAAGGGCGTCTTTTCTTCCACTGGTGGGTGAGAAACTATGTGAGGAATGCAGAAACTCAGGACCTTCTACCTGAGAGCACCTGCTCATGTTTAAAAAAAAAAAAAAGAAAGTCACACTGGGAATATTCACGGAACCAGCCACAACCAAAAAGCACTTTGTATAAAGTAGGCTTCTGAATGTTATAGAATCAGTATTTATGGATGTAAAATGTATTTTTTGTGCTGTTTTTTTCTATATAAATGTGTTGATTCTCATGTAGGTTAATAGTTTTTTTCTTCTATGTAACAGCCACTGACAACTGAGACAAGATTTAAACATGTCAGCCAGTATAACATCATTTCAGAACATCATCTATATAACAAGACCAGACAAAACAAATACATATGAGATGGAAAGACGTTTTCTCAAATGTTATTTAGTATTTTAGTTTCGCTGTCTTTTCTGTTTGTTATTCTTCAACTGGACATATGGCACTATACTGTAGCTCTATAGAAAACTGTACTTAACAAAATATTCACAAAGCGTAACATGTCCTAGGAAGAGGTAAGATAAAGAACATAAATTAAAACTTACTCTGCATGTTTTCCTCTGACGTGGAGCAGTGCAGTACTTCACTTCATGTACTTCATGTACTTTGCTGTGAGTCACACACGGATAGGTGCCGCACTCTTCCTGAAACTTGAAGTGGCCCCTCCCACTTTCAGTGCAACACACCCAGACTTCCACACACATTCCCTCCTTCTGTTATCACACTCTGATTGTAGTTATGCAAAACCCCTAAACCAAAAGGACCTGCTGGGTTTTCTGCATTTGAATAAATGTTTCCCTGAAAAGAGTCAACAACTTAATGAATGCTGGGGCAAGTATAACAGTTATAGGTGAGCCTTTAAAGTTTTACTACAAAAGTCTGGCACTTCATTAAGTGTTACTGTAGGTGTACAGGATTGTCGATCACATGTACTCTTGAACCTTTTTTATGACTCTGATAAGTGTCGCACTGATATCCGGCTCTAAATTTGAAAGAAAATGTACTCGTGTTGCATAATGTGTGATTATATGAAGGTTATTTCTTCTTTTACAGTGATGAAAGTACCAAAAATACTGCTGTTGATCACGTGTACTCACTTTGGGTAAAATTCAGAAATTGTACAGTACATTTCTTTTTAAATTTAAGATTAAATTTAAGATAAGGTTGGATGCACAAAGATCTAAGAAACTATTTTCAAATCATTTCAGATCATTGGAATCAATGGAACAAGAAAAGGTTGCACAAACCAAACACCAGAAACTGTGATAGAACTTGCACAAAAATGAAAAAAAAAAAAATCTAAAACAATAACTAATACAAAATTCCCTATAGCTACATGATATTTATCAGTTTTTGTTAAAGTGACTTAAAAAAGTCTTTAGTTAAGCCTCAACCTGCCTCACCTACTTCAGATTTTACATTTGCCATAATGGATACCTGCATGGAAATACATCAATGTGATCAAAACAGCAGGAAACAACGACTGGCCTAGAATTGTACGACTTCTGTCGCCTTAATAGACCTTTTTGACAGCAGCCATTTTGACAATAATAGTAGGCTAAACACAGGTGTTACAAATGACACTAATTAAGGTTTTGTTCCACTCAGGTTAAACAGAGCCAGGGCACTGATATTGTGCACGCTGGCTCCCTTGAAAGGCTCTGCTCCACCAAATGGAATGGAACCTTAATTAGTGTCACTGGTAGTGCCTGTGTTTACCCTACTATTTGCTGCAGTTAAAAAGGTCTATTGTGATACAGTCAAGGGACGGGAAACATACCAGTAAAATGGACAAGCTGAAAGAAGTTTAAATGAAAGTACGAAGTGAAGTTGATATTTATTCATCAAAATGTTTGTTACGTTGCATTGCGATGTTTTTTTTTTTTAATTATTATTATTCAAAGTTGAATACCTGAAACCTGAAAGGGTTTGAGGTGTCAATTGTAAGCACTGCAAGGAATTATGGTGTCTTTTGAAAAAGAATCAGTGAAAGCAATGGAAAATGATGCTACTGTTAAATAATAAAGACTATAATTAATATCCCCAGTTCTCCTCAGAACTATTACATTACATCAATGCATCTGAACGTATTGTACAAACTGTATTGCAGGGCTGCCACTGTCATCTTGACCATATAACAGAACCATATTTACAAATGTCAAACAAATCCACATACCACAAATTAAGAGATATGTGACTATATGTACTATAAGACACAATGAATACATTTATTCTCTGATCCATCCACTCACAGTTAACGCATGCAATCACTAGATTTTATAATCTATTCTATAGTCTATTTCTGCAGTGTCGACCGTTGTTTATCCAGATCAGCTTTTCCTTTTGTGATCTCTACAATCATACTCCTTATCTGTCAGCAAACAGAGATCAAACACGGAGTACAACCCTGTCCGGGAAGTTGCACTTTGTGAAGGTGAAGATGTGAGTCTCAGCCTTTACATTGATAAACGATACCTGTCCCACCTCGTAATCTACAAACACCCCCAATCCTCTAAGGAGGAGACAGCATTAAAGAGAATGGATTTGCATACACATAAAATACTGCCCTCCATTCCTGTGACCTACAGTCCGCAAGCCGTTCTCAGGAGAGGGAGTGATCCGCTCTCTCCTCTTCAAAGTGCCAGAAGCGACTCCCAGCACCCAGTTGGATGTCTCCTTCACCCCGACCTTCCAGCGCCTGCCTGTGGCTAGGCCCTTTGAATAAACAGTGTTTTCTGTGAACCTCGCTGGGCTAGTCGGAACTTTCTGTTTATTTGGAGATTTCTTTCCACACAGGTATAATTACTGACTGTATTTTCTGTTGTGTTTTAATTTAAAAAAAAACATGAAAACATCCAACTTTAATTGTGAAAAATGACAAACCTGCCTGTGCACTTTCTTAAGCTCAGTGGGGGAAGATGGTTCCATAATTAGAAATGTGATAAATGGTGCTTTTTATGTGATCAATAATAAATGACAAAGTGGTTAAATGAATTAAAAAATAGCTCAATTTATCAAATCACTTGTAGTGTTCAAATCAACTTTGGTGACAACATAGTCTGTCATTCTCAAATAACCTTCCACCCATCAGACTGTCAATGACACAGTCAGAAATATTGATGAATTATTCAATACTTTTGAACGTCATTTTTAGCCACCTTACTTGGCGATCCCAGCATGCACTAAGCCAAAAGGCAGGAAGAGACCCAAACCATTAAGTTAGTACATCAAGTGACCTGATTTCTGAAATGAAAAGGCAAACAATAACAAAAATAGCCTTAAAAAAGCAACTATTCAAACAACAAATGAAAAAAATTGATGAACTGAAAGAAGTTTAAATGAAAGCACGAAGTGAAGTTCAAGATAATGTAGAAAATGTTTCTTGCATTGCATTTTTTTTATTATTATTCAAAGTTGAATACCTGAAACCTGAAAGGGTTTGAGGTGTCAATTGTAAGCACTGAAAGGAATTATGGTGTCTTTTGAAACAGAATCAGTGAAAGCAGTGGAAGTGTCATTTCAAAAGTATGAGAAGCCTTGAACCTGTAGCGGTAAAAGTAGTAAACTCATTTGATGTAGAAGTGCAGGGTTTTATGGCAGCCTGCCTCAACCTGCCTAATTAACAGCAGATACATTTCATTGAATTACTTCTACAGTTCTTCTTGATGTTGCCCAGAAAAACCTACATGAGCATAAATAATGCTATATGTATAGTTTTTAACACTTTGGGCTTCTCCTTGAGTAATACAGGAAGTTGTGTGACCATAAATGGTTATGTGGAAGCGTTCCTTTTTCTAAACGAGACTCTCAGGTGAAGAGAGTGGGGGGATTAATTAAGGCAGATTACTAACAGTTGTGCATGAGTTAAGGCAGGTGTGCACAGCTGATAAACAGGAGCTGTTCTGCACGGCCTGTAACACTCAAAATTACCTTCCTCCAGAGCTTAGAGGCTTTTCTTTTTTGAGAGCGTTGATAAGTGAGAGTCCAGGTTTATTTAAGTGGTGCCTTTCGTTGGGGAAAAACCATTAAATAGGTTTAATGGAATGTAAAAAAAAAAAAAAGAAGCTTCTACACTGAAATAAAAGCATGGGTTACCAGTGTAAATGTTGTAGGAGGAAAGTAACTTATCTGTTACATGTTATCTAGGACTATACTTGGACCCGTGGGTGTGACTGCTAAAATCTGTGTGTAAAATAAGTTTATTTAAATTTACTGAATCTTTAAAAAGGTGCACTAAATGGCCTGCATCACAACACTGAATAATTGTGTAAAATCCTTATTTGTATTCCCCTTTGAATATTCTTTTTATAGAAGTTTAATGCAGACAGCTGCATTGGTGTTAGACACTGCAATGCTTCCTCTTTACCGCTAGTGGGCAGCCTTGGGCTTGCACTGAGGAGACACCAGCTTCTGCCAACAGGCACTTTACATTCATGTTGCATTTTTACCCTATACAGTAGCTGATGCTGACGCTGTCGCCCATGGCAACGTATGAGCACAACAATAGAGCAGGCTATTCTCAGGTTATTCACATAAACGTCCAAAAAGAAACTGATGTTGGGGTGAAAGCTGCTGCGCCTGCCAAATACTGTAGGTATAGTATATATCGGCAGATACTTTAGCAATCAGAAAACGTAGTTGGAGTCACATTGCAGTTCATTTAATTTTACAGAATATTCTATTTCTGGTCTACAACTTTGAATTCTGACCCTGAAATCCACCACCCACCGAGCTCCTCGAGGAAGATTGATTTCTTTGCACTGCAGCATATTGGCAGCATTGATGTCAATGAGACATTGAAGAGGGGGTTCTGTTCTGAAAATGACCCCATGTCCGGGTCTCTGAGACGTTATTGATCCCTCTCACTTCCTGCAAATGTCACCGCATCTCTATTTATGTTACATATTATTGATTGTTTTATGTCTTCATTTTACACAGTATCTATTGAGGAACTGTCTTGTGTTATACCGCCAGTCGCATTTGAAAGCAATTGAAAGCTGAATTTGGTTTTAGTATATTTGAAAACTTGCCCCAAAAGAGAGAACTTATTGTTACTATTTGTATTGCTGTAAATCTGTGAGCTTTTGTAGGTTTGATTATTGCTGTGTGAGTGTGTGGCTGCATGTGCGTGCATGCTATAATATTCAGTGTAGCCCCTACAGCAAACCCACTGCAGAGATTGTGTCGCATGATGTTACGGAGCTACAATTTCTTGGAGTGGGGGGATTCTGCTTTCTCTCCCTGTCGCAGTGTCAGTCAAGGTAAATGTATTCCTCCTCCCTCCTTTCCTCCCCCTTTTCCCTCCTTCTCCTTCTCCCTCTCTGCCCACTGGCAGCTCCAGCTCTTGTATCCATCAATCTTTTCATCTTTTTCACCCATCTGCTTGTCTTTTTTTTTTCTTTTTGACTCCCCCTTTGTTCTTTCTCTCTCTGTTTTATTTTCCATAACCCAATACAAGGGTTCTCTTTTAGGTTTATAAATAGAAGCTATACCCTTTTCCTTTGCTGTCTCTTTCTCTCTCATTTTCTCTCCCTCCCTGCAACCCGAATTTATGCTGGAAGCTACAC